TACATATGTCGATTGATATATCAAACACTCCATGGGACTGGCACATCACTTGACGTAAATTTGTTTCGGAGGACTGGAATTAGATGCAAAAAAAACAGGCATGTAATTCATTGCATCTCTTCCAGTCCCAGTCCCATCGTCTTTACTTTGTTGCGCCGTTTTTCAAAAACGACGCACCAGTCACGCCAGTGACGGTGGACGACGGTGGACGCTCGGTTAGACGCTCGTTCCACCGGACGACTTCGACCGATTGCACCTGCTTGATGGCTCGGGCCTCTTGCTCCCTAAATGCCTGCGGCGGTGGGTGTACACGACTTGATGATGTGCAGGTGAAAACCAAGAGGTGAGAGCTGGAGATGTTAATAGACTGTTGATTTATGTGTTTCATACTATCATGAACCCCCCCACATGGAGATGAAAAGCCATGTGGCCTCTTTATTCAGCAACCGTCTACATTGAGATGGTATGCCTCAACTTCTGTGGAAAGGCCGGTGCGTCTTGTGAATGACAGAGGCGTCTTCCATCTTCTTCCATTTTCCCCAGTGTTTGTTGATCAAACGCCCAAGGCTTTGTGGGCTTGCCACCGAATGAACTCTTTCGTGATCAGCAAGGACTTCAGATCAGCCTCAGGGTAGTCTCAATCGACAGGGAATATTAGACAACTTTCTTGTAGCAAGTGATGGCTACTAGCTGCTGATCTGTTCGGGTGTTGGTGGTGTGTCTTTCTTCCATCAACAGATCCTGAAACTGGGTAGATGAGATCCAACAAGTTTTCCAGTTTTCCACAGCCAAATCGTCGCTTTTTATCATGTCTGGCACCGATTTCGTCCCAGGCGTGCGGGGAGCCACAAACATCCTCAGACTAACTCGGATGACAAGGCCATTGATCTGTTGGGCTGTCCGTTTCGGGCCACACCCACATGGTGTTTGGCCAGCTGTGGATTGAGCGCCGTTCAATCAGTTTCCTTCAGCAGCACGTTCACTGAGGACTGGCCAAGGCGTGTCTTTTGTACAAGGAGCTCATCATCCAGGTAGGCAACCTGACGGAACGCGTCTCCATCCGCCGAACGGGGGAAAGCATGGCACTGGAGGTGGGGCCGCCCAGAGGGTGCCCTGATATCCTAAATGACTCGCAACGCAGAAGTCACCGGGAAAACTATCTGGCTGCAACTCAAACTATCTCAACCCACCTTTTACAAGTAGTTGCTCAAATCGTTGCTCCTCAATCCGTTCCTTGGTTTACAAGACTTGTCAGCTACAATTCAGCAGCACATCCAATCACATTCATACGCCGGCACATGAAGTGACCCGATTGATCTCCCAATATCTCCCACTTTCCTGGAGCACTTCTGAACTCCAAAATGATCCTGAAGGCCGAGCCTGAAAAATTCCCGCCCCAGGCGGCAAAGGCAACGTGAGATTGGGCGAGAAGGGAAGATTCAGCTGGGTCGAGCTGTAGCGAAAGGCCAACTCGACGAAAAACTTCTCCTCAGTTGTCCACTCTCAGGGGCCAAACCATCAGCAACCACAAGAGTGAAGAATCAAGCATGTTAGTATACATATATACCAGCACCCAATGAGTTTGGGATCACATGGTTGATAAGGGGTGCCCAATGGATACCCCTTTGAACACACCACATCCGAATGAACCGCCGCAGGAGGTTGAGGGACGCTTCGAACGGCCGCGACTCCCTATCGAGAAACCACAAAAATCTTCAATCACCCTCTGAAGTGGTTCGGTCCTACTTGCAAAAACCACAAGTTCGTAAGGAGTGCCCAATGAGTTTTGGTGCTAAGGGGTGCCCAATGGGCACCCTTTGGATGTTCCTGGTATGTGTATATATTATATATATATATTTATGTTTGATGACGACTTTGGATGCCATATGTGCTGGACGAAACAGGTGTTGTCCACTGTGTTGTCCTTGCTGGAGGGAAGACTGTCTGAGCCAGGTCAGTGTTCTGTTCAAGATTGACACATTCCAGCTCTCGTGAATGAATGGAAGGTTCATCGACAACAGTCGCGCAGTTTTCAGCTTTACCAGCCTTCAGAGCACACACTGGGGTCGAAGCCAGGTCATACGCAACAAAAACCTGATCCTTTTGGCAAAGCAGGGAGGCTGCAGAATCCAGATTCCGGGGAACTAACATCACAACAGGCTTGCATCACACATGGTGAAATGGATGTTTTACATGTTAATACTCAGCCTGGTGGCCCTGTCGCCTCACTGCTCTCCGGGCGCCCGCCCGATGTTTAGCCCCCTGGATTTCATCGATTTTCACCGGGCTGGCGCTCGCATGCGGGCTCTCCTCCAAGGGCTCTGGTAGCTTGTAGGTGCAGTTCACCAGCTGAGTTACCTCAAACATGAGAAACCGGTGCTTATGGTAAAAACAACCTGAGCTCCAATGGTTCCTCTCATGGTTTGTGTGTGTGTTTTGGACCCTTTTGGATGTTGCTCACCTGGAGTTGTTGTAGTAATTTGACATGCTTTATAAGGGTTGGCAGTTGGCCTGACATTGTTGGCAGTTGGCCTGACATTCTTTTTGATGGGTTGGCGTGTCAATTTTGAAGGGAAATCAGGGAGGAGGTCGGCTCCAGGTCGTCATCCACCAATCTGGGTGGTGCTGGATCTGTTGAACTACCTCTCTCCACCCAGGCATTGAGGTCAACAAGGTACCCGTGGATTCGAACATCGGGGATTCGCAAAGTCAGATGTTCCGCGAGACTCACTCTAGGACCTGCTTTTTCAGAGAACTTGGCCACCTTTTTTTTTGTGCCAAGCCATGACTTGCTCGCGTGTGCTCTGCTCGAACATCCGACGATCAGAACGAGTTCTTAACGCGCCTGAGTCTGCAGCGGTGAGAAGAAGTCGATCTCGTTTCGCGCGAAGCGGCTGGTGAGAAAAGACTGGCCCACTCCTCGGATCGCAGACAGTCGGGCGACAGACTCGAGGAGTTGTTTGGCAGACAGTCTCGGGGCCATGTGGGGCACCCGAAAGTGGGCATGTGGGCCCGAAAGTGGGCCTGACGCGTTTCGGAAGAGCGAAGCGTAGCGAAGCGTAGCGAAGCAGAAGGCTCGGTCTGGGCAAGCAAAGGTTGCACCGGTCGGCTGGTGCAACGATACGAGGACCATTTTTCACTTGCTTCGGTGCACCGAGGGGGTAGTGGATCAGTCACTGTCCTTTTGGATGCCATGTAGATGAACCGAACCTCACCCCAAAAAGGCGCATAGAATTTTCATTCAAACATGATGACAATGCTTCATGTCAACCCGTCGGCAAATGGCACCCCTGAAAAAGAACCAAGAGGTCACACACACAGCCTAGTCCCAACCCTGTGAAACATTCACCCACCAATTTGGCCGCGTTGCGGTGTTTGAATGAGACTTCTGTTCAGGTTCAGTTCCATCTCCAAACCCCGTGGGGATGGAACGGGTGTCCCGAAGACGGAGACTCTCCAAGGCTCTGCCTGTTCGCCAACCCAAGGGGAGATTCTCTAGGGACGTCAGATCGCTGGAGCTGGTGTAGATCCTTGGGGGATCGGGGAGGAGTGTCTGCCAAAGGGTTGGCATGTTCTGCTCAGGGTTGGGGGCTGAAAATGGAACGACACCCTAGCCCCTGCGGGTTCCACTCCCCCCTATCAGCTGCTTTCCTCAAAAGGTTGTGGGATTGCCATAAACAACCTGGCTCCGACATGCGCGTCAGGCGCATAAGGGGTCAAACAGGTGATCCTTGGGAAAGGCTGCAGGCCGCAAATCATCCCAAACAAAAAAACTATCTCAAATGCAGACTGATCTTGTGTTGGTCATCAAAATCATCAAAACCTGATCCTGCCTTCTTTGACTTTGAAAAAGAAAACACTGAGTTGCTTGCTGTCCAAAGAAATAATTCTACCCACATGCATCAATCGAAGAAAAGTTCCAGCTTGAACTTTTTGGTAGGCAGTGAAACCATGTTGCATTGACCCGAAGTGGTAACCTGCGAACCCGTAAAAATCAAGCAAAACGTTCTGATTCTTTGCGTGGAATCAATTTCCAGCGCCCCCCGTAGTGCATCCAAGCGCTCGCGAGCACCAGGAGGCGCTTGGAAGTGTTCAGCCAAGGTCTCTAGGAGCAGTGTGACCTGGAACAGGCAAGTTCAATATACTAACCCCATGTCAATTGATTAATAAACCAACCCCATGTCAACCATGTCTCAATATACTAACCCCATGTCTCAATTTACTTATACTCTTGATTCATAAACCAACCCCATGTCAATTGAACCACCTCTTCATATGGGGGGGATTTATTCATCAAGAGTTTACATTCATGTAGACTCTTGAATACTTCGACCCCACTGGCCTCTTCAGAGGTTTTACAATCCATATGAAGACAAATATATCGAGTCTGCATGATAGTATATAACGACAGCTGCTGCCCCTTTTACAGGTTGACAGCTGTGAAGCACCGTTCACGCTCGATAAGCGTCTTCTGCTCGAAGGTCACTTGAACACTTTGCCTCTCCCTTTCTGATTGAACTGTTTGAACACCTTTTTCATCTTTCAATTCAACACTTAAAGAACTCAATACTTTGGCCTCTCCCCACCTCTTCCCGCTCCGCCTCCCTTGCCACGAAGCCCCGGTTTCCCCCGGCACACCGCAGCAGCAGCTCGCGCTTGGCCTCCTTCGGGGCCCCGGCGGCACCTGTCGCCTGACACCGTGCCGCGCGCCGCGCGCCGCGCGCGTGGCGCGCGCCGCGAGGGGCGCGCAGGGCACGTTGGGCAGCGCGGCAGGTGGAGGCCCAAGCGATGGCCAGGACGACCGGTGCTCCGCGGCGAAGTGGCACAGCAGTAGGGTGGATGGGCAGATGGCGGAGGGCCACTGAGACGAGCTCCATGGCAGGTGAAGTTGGAGCTGTCGCCTTGGCTAATGCCATCTCTAAGTGAGATGCCACCAGCCAAAACCACTCACCAAGAGCACCAGTTAAGATCGCACTAAGACATCTTTAGATATCTGCGGTATCCTGACTTCTACAACACTGGGCCATGGCTACGTCAAGTTGAACCGTGCACGTCGTGAGTCATGTTTTCTGCATGTGGACGTCCTGGACGAGCAAAAGCACCATTAGGTTTGACTCATGCGAGTCCATTTGTCTCCACAACTGTTGTCGAGTCCATTTGTACTCTGGGAACCATGTTGTCCTTTCTCTGTCAGGTCTTGCGTTAACAGGGTCAAACAACCAGCAGCTTTTGGACCTCCAATGCCCAAAGGTTCAAGACTTTGTCTTTCTGTGATTATGTGCATGAAGCTCTGTTACCGAACTGACGCCAGTGAAGTCTTCCAAATCCCAGCCCTGAGCCGTCCACTCAAAACCGGGAGCTTTTGTCCACTCTTTGGTTCCGCACCGCAGCTTCACCGCAGCTCAGCCCGCAAGCCCGCCGAGGCCAGCCAGGTTTGCACCTGTTCGGCATTCAGATGCTCCTCGTAGGAGGCCTCGCCACCCACGTGGGGCGCCGAGAATTGCACCTCCACGGTGGAGGCCAACGAGAGCCTCGGCACCCCAACGCTCCACGGCGGCGCATGACCGAGCCCCTGTTCGGAGGTGCTGGCGAGTGAGTGGTGGAGCACCTGAGGGGTTCTCAATGGGACAGCCGTCCAAAGATGACGTTCGGTCTGGACCCATTCCTTTTCAAGCGTCCAGAACGAACCCTCGGAAACGATCATTACACCTCAATGACAATTCGAGAATCAAACATATCATATCATACATGTGGATACATGTGGATACACGAGGCAATCTATGAAGACTTGCCCTTCTGCATAGTGTTGCATTGTCTCATAACAAAGTACTAGCGCTAGGGTTTAGTCACCCGGGTTTGCAGAAAGTCACCCGGCCGCATGGAAACGCAGCATTAGTCAAAAGTCACCCGGCTCGCGAAAAGTCACCCGGTTTATGTTAAAACACAATGTAAACGCTCTACGGAAGCATGTTTGTCAAAACTGCTATACATCAAGAATTCACTGCCCCTGTGCAGGAAAGAACTAGTTTGATGTCGAAGTTTGCAGCGTTTTGGTGACCAAACCCCAATCAGAACGCAAGGTTAGGACTATGGTGAAGATTACCTCCTAAACATAGATGCAGCATGCTGCCCTGCTTGCTTTGCTCTTCAAGAGCTGTGCATTAATGACCTTCATGTGGAAAAGATCACTAAAGGAAACATGGTGAGGCTGGCGCGAGTGCCACGCGAGTCTTTTCGACCCTGTCGCGAGTGCCGCGC